TCTTTCTCGTTCCCGTTGTCTTGCTGTTATCTGGGTGGTCAGGAGATAATAGAAACAGGCAGTTCAATCCTGTCGGCAGGCGGCGGTTGCTTTGAGCACCCCCACCTGCTTGTTAATGGTTTGAAGAAATAAAGCAGTCGTAAATGTACACTCGCCATCTTCATTGCGCTAAAGTGTCTGCCATGAAAAACACACACACACACACACACAGACACACACACACAGCTCCCATCAACCCCAAGCAGGTGCTCTAGGTCACAGCTGGAGAGAGGAGCGGTCAGTCCTAGTGCGATCCGAGGAGGGGAGGTGTATTTCATTTCAGTTTTGCTGTTGGGGTTTGAGTTTTGTGTCTTATCGCACAGCTTCGTGTGTCCGATATGAAAGTGAAGAAGAATGTATAAAATTCACTCATTAGCTCAGTCACAGGAGTGTTGAGTCAGTAGATGTTCAGGATATGTGATCATTAATTGGACACATGTCTGAATAGCCCCAACGTGGTATCTGAGTTTCTGTGCTTTTTCCAGGCTGCTGCTCTGCTGAGTCTTGCTCTGTAGAATTGATCAGAGACAGGCTCTCTACGGTCCCATGTTAGTTCGTGGGCATAGAAACAGAGATCTGAGTGAAAGCCAACACCTGTTTATTTAATTAAATTATTTAAATTACATTAAAATTATTTAATTCACTTTTTCACACGTCTTCGGTTGGAATGTGACTTGTTGACATGTCCCCTGTCAGTTATGTTGATGTTAATTTACAGAATAATTAACTCAGATCCCCAATTTTTTTTAAATCCCTGTTCTTCAGAGGATTGTTAAAGGATGGAATTACACTGTTCTGTAACTTAAAACAACTTAAATTAAATAGTGATAATAATGCACCTATATGTATGATGAAACAGCTTTAGCTTGATTTTGTTTCTCCTGTCTGCAGTAGCATTGCATCCATCCATCCAACCATTTACTTCTGCTTATACAATTTCAAGTTCCAGAAAGCAGCATTCAAGTTGAACAAAGCAATTTGGTGTTACCCAAACTTTGTAGTGTAAGTTCACTTACATTACTCCACCAATGCACAACACAGGAAACGCTGGCTTTAATTAAGATTTTAATGTCAATTTGATCTGATTAATTCAGACCACTACAGCCTGCATTAATCTGTTCATTAAAGAAGTTGCGTAATGTTGATTGTGGAGTTCCTAAACTTTAGCAAGGGCATCCTCATTTATTATGTGGACCACATGGCCATATCAAAAGATATTACCATGTGACATGTGTATACAGTATTTCAAAGCAATTTAATCACCAACACTTCTGTCTGATGGTTTGTAAGTTTGTTGCTGATGATTAACAAGCAGAGCTGTTTTATTTATTTATATTTTGAGAGTTAGTGAAGTACGGTTCACCATTGCCATTTTATTTTGAAAAAGGATGCGTCAAGGCACAAATTTACACTAAAAACTGTTTAGCAATATCTATTCACAAAGAACATTGTACATGTAACGTAATGTACGTGTACTGATTTAAGTATTCACAATGATGTAGGGGTGTTTGATTAAATGATTGTTCTCGGGGCCTTAATTCTTACGTAGCATTTATGAATGTTAATCTATGATTTTGCCACAATCAGTAGTGTGGAAACCTAACCAGAGCAGAGGAACCCAGGTTCAGGACGATAACCTTGTGGACCGCCTCCTCCACAGTCACTCTCACAGACCGGACAGCTTTACTTTTACTGTTTATGTGCACATGTGGGTCCGCATTTGCTATCCCTTCTTTGTGATTGTGTTTAGGTGTGCAACACTGAGACAGAGGAGGTTGTCTGTGTTGGGACTGGGGGTCATCTCTATTTTGACAGCATGCTTTGACAGGCAGTAATTGGTTTCCTTTTCCATGCCTCCAAAGCTCCTGCAGAAAAAGCAATTTTGGTAGCCAATCAATTCAAATTTTAGCTCACTCAAGATAGAGAAGCCCGTGCAGCTTTAACCTCCTCGCTAAGGAAAACGGTCCTGCAAACCCCCACTCCCTCAATCCCACCCCTAACTTACACACATACGCACACAGACTAGCCTTGTCTCTCAGCCATCCTTGAGGGGAAGCTCTCATTTCCGTTTTCTCTTGAAAGCAATTGAGTGTAATAATAGCTGTTTATACTGTAAATGGTTTGGGTGCATTTTTACCTCAAAACTGAATGAACCTATGAATCTCTGTCCATGTGTATCCTTCTCACATGTTCACAAACATATGCGCACACATACACACACCATCCAATACAAAATACAAAAGGTAAATACACAGGTACTCACACACACACAGAACTGTGTTTGCCTACTGGCTCTGCCGCTGTGATGTGAAGAAACACATCATTTAACCAAACTGGTCAACTGAGAACTAATTTCTTCTTTGTAGTTACTGCCTGAGGACCCTAGGGTTTGCAGAGTTTATAGTGGCAATCAGCAGCACTGTGACTCTTTGTGCAGAAACTTCTTAACAATTTAGTTTGGACTCTGATCAGGACGCTGACTCTGATACCTCAGTGCCCTCCTCCTCAGCGCTATTACAGTCTAGGCCCGGTATTTATCAGTACATCTGCACCATAGTCTGTACACAGTAATAGATCACAGTAGTGATATACCTAAAGTGTTTTGTGCTATCCTGGTATACAGCATTCACTCACCAGAATGCCTCCTTTACAGTTTTTTTTTTTTTTTCTTTTTGAGTTTTTCTAACTCTTTTCACTTATTTTAGTGGCTCCCTAAAAAGTCGTGTTTCATGAATCCATTAGCATGAAAACTATTTATCCGCGTGAACCATCACTGCACTTTAAATGGTGGTTGTAATTGTCTGCTAGGATTTTAGTCACATTAGTAAGGCACATTGCCCAGCTTTATTTCCATGTCATTTCTTTCCTCATTAAGTCCTACGCTCACTCTCTCCCTGTGCACCCCACCTCAACTTTTCTATCACCTCCAACTCACTGACTAAGAAAGAAGTTTAAGCTGCCATGGCAACGAGGGGCAAGTGCATAATACACTGGTGTCAATGATTCCGATTCCCAAGATGTTAAGTGGCTGCAAAATCCCTCTGCCAACCAGTCTCTGCCGTCCATCTGCTGAGGGCCTTCTGTGGCTAAAGTTGAAAGTCTTTGACATACAGTTGGCAAAGTGACTGGGCCATGGCGATTGTTTGGCTGGTGAATGACTGGAGGGGAGTGGATGCCGTCTACGTCTCTTCATTTCTCTTTCTCCCTGCCTGTCTCTCGCTCTGCCCCGTCTGTCTGTCTGTCGTAGCGAGAGCAGTTCGGCTGTAGCAGCAGAAGCGACATTAGCTCCTAGGCTGGGCTCTGGCTCCTGTCACTGCCTCGATAGCTGTCACGCTAACACCCCTGCCACTATCATTGGAGCACTTATGGGCCTGTCACTCACCTGGGAGCAAAGGGAGGGAGGGAGGCACCGAGGGCCAAGGGTGTGCTAAGGGAGATACGTGCAGGAGAGGGGAGAACGTGGAAAGGTGCTCGGATGCAGGGAGGAAAGTGAGGAAAAGACAGAAGGAAAAAGAGGAAGATAGTGGAGAAGGGATGGGCTGGAATGCAAAGACGGAGGGGGGGGCAGCCAGCTGAGCGGCATTAAATGATGAAGTCATTCAGACTCAATAGATGAAAACTCAAAGGTTAACATTAGAACCTGACTGGATTTCCAAACACTCCGTTTGTATTTAGCAACCCGCTCTCTACTTGTTCAGCAGGATGTGCTCCATTACACTTGACAACTGAGAAGGGGCCGTTCGGACATTAAAAAGAAACATCGATTTGCCATCCAGGACAATGTACTCGAAGCTCTGTGAAATTACAAGCTTCAGCTAAACTGCATAGGGTAATTTTTAGAAGGAAGTGGAAAACACATTGATAGCTGCAGCTGTCCGCGCTCACAAGGACATGTCACGGCTGCGTTCCAGAAAAAAAAAAGCACGCACTCTGGACACACACGTGTACGCAGAGGTCCACGTAATAAGGTCGGTATCGGGGCATCACTGAATCACAGAGACCAGCACTGTGGTTGACAGAGCAGGCTGCAGACACGTTTGAGTCTGGCCCTTCAACTGACTGTAGAGGCACTCAAGTGAAACTCTATTACAACACCCTCTCCTGCCGCGATCCATCAGCGCCAACACAACACCCCGTGTACACACGCCAGTTCACGTGTACACAAGCAGGCGTGTGTGTTTGTGTGTGTGTTTGCAAAGAGAGATTGTTTTAATGTGGCATTTCATTAAGCACAAGATTTCTAAAAGTGTTGCTCTTTCTATGGTATTTCTTCTGACACCCCTTTTATCTGCAAAACTTATGACAGCAATTCTTGTTGCTTTTAAGGCAACTGCGGGTCATGCAGGTGAGGAAAATGTATCACTCCTCCCATCAGACTTAATCCAATCAACACCTTTGGAGCGTGAAGCATGGCTTTCATGTTTTATCATAGAGTCATAGACAGCTGTTAGAGTGAGAAATTTAGGAAAAGGAGCAAAGTGCAGTCATGACAAGTGAGCTCATGCTACCCCACACTTCAACTCAGACAGGCACAAATGTATGCAGAGGAATAGCATAACAGAAACATTGTCTCGAATGGGATGAATATTTCATGGCTGGTTTGTGAAAAAAAAAAGATTATAATGTGTCTTTGCTATCATGTCGCAAAAGTTCAACATTAACTTCCCTTCCTAATTGGCTACAGCACAGAAAATCAAGGTACACAGACACATGGCACAAAACTTTTTTTTCCACATGAAAATAGTTTAGCCAAATGATGCTTGAAATTGAAAGTGACTCAAAAGTTAAAGTGGATGAAAAGCAAAAAAAAAAAAAAAAAAATTCGGGATAAAAAATTAAAATCGACAAACGACAGGAACTGAACATACTGTAAAACTTTACTGGGAAGCAAATAAACCAAATTAAACATGATTTTAAATGTGTGTCTTCTTTTTGTTTTTTGGGGTTTTTTGCCCGTCTAGGCCACAGACGGAGATGCAGGCACTTTTGGGATTGTGCGGTACTACTTCACTGATGAGCCAGACCAGTAAGACACAGCTACACACACACACTCACTTACACATAGTCAATCAGTCCACACACACAAAAACACACACACAAGGACATTAATTTTTCATTTATTTGGCCCCTTGTTAACAATTGTACCGCACTGTTTCTGGCACACAGCATCACCAGAGACAGCTGAGCTACAACAATGTCTGGCGCTTATCTCAACGTCTGCTCTCTTCAGGCCACAAACACCTAGAAAAACAAGCACTCACATAATTCACTCATTAATAATCTCCAGTGTTTTAAAAGACCACCATTACTGTGGCTTCCTATATGTATATTTTTCTGTCTTTAACAAAATTATTTAATTATTTATTTAACACAATACGGGGACCTCCCTGCTCACAAGTCTGTATTATATATATTTGAGCAGCTTTGCATGACAGTTTAAAATCTGTCTTCAGCTACCTTCTCCATCTCTTAAGCCAGCTTGCTCCTGATTGGCTCCCTTTCACAAACAAAAGATTTGGGTGCCAGTTGCATGGGACTTCTGGGCTCTCACCCAGAGCTGTGTCATTTTCTAACTACTCTCTGGATTTCTAGTTTCATAGGGGCTGCTTGCCAGAATTAATTGGCCCCTTTGGAGCTGTAGTCCAAAGATGTAAATTTCCTGTGGTAGAGAGTGGTCCGTGGGACAGTGTTGGGGGTTTCTGTGCTTACGGCCAGAGCTAGCCATATTAATCTTATGAAATAAAGTTAGTGCGGTGCACTTGTAGTCACAGGAAGAAAAAAAATGGGCCTCTAACCTCACTTTTCTCTTGCAGGTTTTCAATTGATGAAGAGACAGGCTGGGTCGTTCTGCAGGCCAGCCTTGACTATGAGTTAATGCGCCGCTTCACGCTGACTGTGCTGGCAAAGGACGGCGGTGGGGAGGAGACCACGGGGAGGGTCCGAGTCAACGTATTGGACGTCAACGACAACGCGCCACTCTTCCAAAAGGAGGCGTATGTGGGCTCTCTGCGAGAGAACGAACAGACTGTGCAGTCAGTGGCACGAATCAGGGTGATTATAAACGCATAAGGTCGAAGAAGCACCTACACACAAAAGGCGGCGGAGTTTTTAAAGCATGCTTACTGTACAATTTGTAGGCAAAATTACATGCTCTTTACAAGACAGTGTCGTAAACGTGTCCCGTTTATAGCTGCTGTAAAATACCCCATAAACATACACCTGTGACCATCGCGGGTTTTAAATATTAACACTCGAGACTAAAATCAACATCCACAATGGTATTGAAGTGCCGCATAGCAACAGTTTGTTTGGTTGCAATAAACAAACTACGTTGTAAGATAAAAAATAATGTTTATTTATTATTGATTTGAAATGAAATTATTCCACACACTGAGCACTGAGACAGAATATATCCCCGTGTTCTCTTGCACTTATTTGGTACATTCACATAAAAACTACACCCTGCTATACAGAATCTCACTCAAACCCTACCACAAATCTGACTCCCAGACCTTTTTGGCTTTGCTGCCCTTCTCGTCTTTCTTCCGTGTTCCTTCTCTGTTACTGTAATCACGCAGTAATATGTTTGTCTGCACTGTATCCAAAAAGAACAGGTCAGCTTACTGTGTTGGCCATCAGTCACTGCCACACATAAGGCAGTGGTGCGCAGGCACAGTGGTAACCAGTGGGTCAGCGTTTGCTTTGATTGCACCCACAAGAGAAAGACTATTACATCCCTTGTGGCTTTACGCTGCTACGGTTACACTATGGCAGTTTGCCTTTTGCATTGTGGGAACCGAGCTGATGGCCAGGCTCAGTGCTTTGGCTCGCTGTGTTTGATTAGTCTGAGCTAACCTTAAACGCTGCTGATATTAATGCGCCGCCTCAGGAGGAAGGGGAGGGAGGGAGCCGGTCGCATAATTGTGTGTGTGTCAGCAGTATGCCTTGGAACCTCTTGTGCACACACAAATAAATGTGCGCGCACTCACACACAGAGTACTCCAGGAAAACAGGGAGGGATGGAGGAAACGAAAGAACGCTGAAATAGAAGAAGAGGGTGTTTTGAGAGACAAAGCAAAGAGAGGCTCTTGTGTTGTTTGCTTTTTGCCTTGGAGATTTGTGCCTCCTACCACTGCGCTTATGCTTTCTAGCTAAATCTTTTTTCATTTTCTCAACACTCCTTATTCCTTTGCTTCCTTAGCCGCTCATCTATTTGATTTGCTGCCCCCAACTCCTCTTACCTTTGAGTGGTAATGCAAAACTATTTGTCGGAATTTGATAGAGGAAGACGGTCTGGAAGAGAAAGCCACAGCTTAGGAAGTTGTGGGGGAAGAAAGGTATTGCTTACTCAACACTCTGGCGTTAAATCAAAGAGGAGAGATTTGTGTTATGAAGGGAAACAAGTGAGTGTTTTTGACAGCCTGTCCAGCCTCTAATGATGCCAGTGAGAGCCCAGTAGACTCCCCTCACAGCCGGAGGACTCGTGTTTAAGTTCCTGCCAGCTCGAGAATAATGAGGGGGTGTCATCATTGTTGTTGTTGTTGTTGTGGACAAAGTACGGTTTCATCTGTCCTCTGCCTGCTTGGCTTGTCTAGGCTCGGTTGGTGTTCATCCAGTATTGACGCCTGCGCCACTAATAGCCAGAATCAGCTTTAATCTGTCCAATAACATATTGACGCTGACTGACACTTTCCTGGCTGCACATATACACTCAGACTCAAAAACACCCATGCTGTGCAGACATATAGTCATAAATATTATCACTGTCTAATGCAACATCTGTTCCATCGCACACGCGAGACTTTGGCTGTCGATAGCTTCTTTTGCACTCCCTGTTCAAGGTGAGAAAACCCCACAATTATTACACCTCACTGCTCTATATAAAAGGTAAAAAGGTAAAATAAGAGTGCTTTGAGGTACCGCCCTGAAGCCGGCAGTGGAGGTGGTAATGTACTGTATGCATGTGTAGAAAGCAGATCCAGAAAGCTGAAGCTTTTGTGCACAAAGCACACCTTTGATTCCGCTAAGCCAGCATGCTATCACACTCTCCCAGCATTACGTCTGCCACCATTAAGACACACTGGGTGTATAAAAAGGCCTACTGAGCCACATGTTAAAGTCACTAACATCGTCTACTCTCGCACACCTTGTGCCCAATCACAGGCTACAGATGAAGATTCTCCTCCCAACAACGTGTTGACATATACCATCATTTCAGCGTCGGCCTTCCCTGATTACTTCCGTATCATCATGGTGGAAGGCTACGCAGGTACGCAGATGTGGTTGAGTTTAAGAGTGTGCGCGTTAAGCTAAAAACAGATTATATATCCAAGGATTGTTTATACGTAAATTTTTGCTTGGAATATTTTGGGATTATAATAATTATTTGACCAGCAATTTTACTAAGATGTGATGTTTGTGCGCCTTCCTCCAGTGATCAGTGTCATCAGACCTCTGGACTATGAGATGGTTCCCAAGGGCATGATCTATCTGACAGTGATGGCCAAAGATGGGGGAAATCCAGCCCTCAACAGCACTGTTCCTGTTACGGTGGAGGTGATTGTAAGTATAACCCTGCTACATACACACAACAGCAACAACTTAATGACACACAGCCACAACTGGAGGTTCAAGTATCAGTTCCTCCTGCAGTTTTTGCTGACAGCTGTCAACAAATGCAGACACAGAGCAGTATTTTGCGAGTACACAGCTTTTGACTTGGTTAAATCTTCAGCATGTTTTCCACCTGCATCACCCAAATATAAACATGACAAGTATGCAGCCTTATTCAAGCTGTGAACATTTTCTACCATCCGGTGCTTTGTACATAAGATGAAGACTAATGACCTTAAGCAACAACTGTCACGTCTTGCTATGTACTGTCCATCGGCATTTAGCAGCTTTTATGAAGCCTTGCCTTATGTCTAAAAATGTTATTGACCTCACATTATCACCAACGGGATGGCATCTTTTCCCGGGATGTCAAAGACATTTGAATGCTGTTCTTCCAAAGTTATTTACAGCAAACCCGCAAGCAGATGTGATTTGAAGTTTAGTTGTTCTGGGTTCAGGGGTTTGGTAGTTGTTGCAGGAAATAAAACCTGAAAAGTAGGTCTAAGAGGGCTCAAACAGTTCAATGTAACTAGAGTGCTTGCACAGAGGTCACGGAGGTTAGTAATTGTTACGGCCGAGAGGGCCAGGCTGTGGGTGTGGACTCAAATGCAGACACAGAGGGAGGCAAAACGGGCGTGAACACTGCTTTATTTACAGTGCCTAGTTAACTTACAAAGCAGGAAACTATGAATGCTTTGAACTGTGGAAGCTATGAACTGAGAACTATGAGGCCAAACTATGAACATGAAACTCTGAGTGCTATGACTAAGTGCTAGATTTCATGGATGGATCCTGGGAATGGAAAAAGGGGCAGCGGCTTGGATGGAGGTACGCAGTCACTATAATGAGAGGAGACAAGTAGTCAGTGGCAGTCTAGTGAATCACAGCTGAAGGATTAGACTATGGTGGTTAGGGCTTACGTGTTGCAGGTTAAAGTGTCATGCGAGGAGGGGGTGCCCAAGGGGTTCCGGGTGAGGAGTGTCCAGAGAGGGTCCAGAATATACTTTGAGTGAGGGACTTGGCAGGAAGGCAGGCAGGTGTAGCCCAATGATGGAAAGAGTAGTTTAGCTTGGGAAGTGCGACTGCCAGGTGGGTCCTATGACAAAGAAAACATGGTGAGGAGAAAAGCAGTAGTTAAGGGCTCTCACAAGGGCTTGGCAGCCTAGCACTAACGTGAGTTAGCAGAAGATCTGGCAGAGGTCTGTTGTGAATGCTGGTCTTATATGCTGGTGACTTAATTGGAACCAGGTGTGGAAGCTGATTGGAGTCTCTGCTTGAAGGTGGAGCCCAGCGGAGTGGAAAAACCCCGTACTCACCCGGACTATGACAGTAATGCTAAATCTATCAGAGAAAACGTACATTTCCCCATTACCATTGTGCAGCATGCTTAAGCGGCTGGCACTTTTAGGATTATAAACACAACTTTAAAAAAGTTACTAGTACCCTAGCGGCCTTCAACCTCTGTTTTCTATCTTAAGATTAACTGATGTGGAACCTGCATGTAATTCATTAAGACTTAAAGATGCCCATTCATTGACTTTATTTGCAACTAATATTTCACAACGTAAATAACTTCTTTATATAGTAACTATTTTGATCAAAGCTGAGATTCTTTCTAATTCCAGACAATGCGACAGAAATCCTTACAGTCTCCCCACTTTTAAGACACTTTTGCCAAACCCTTTAAAAATTAGGAAAGAAGCCCACAGAGCTCTTATATCATATGTAGTGAATGAACACAAAGCTTCCTTATACTTATAAAAACCCACATTGCAGTTTGTGACAGGTGTCACCAGCCTCATCTGGTGGATTGTTTCATATGTTTCTGACTTACATATTGCTTTCAGTATTCCTTCACTGTTTACCTTCTCAATCCTTTTAACCCGTGTCTCACTGCAACTTTGTCTGCAGCTTTATCGCAGTCTGTGCAGCTATCTGAGCTTCCAGTTCGCTTGTCAGTCTTATCAGTAAATGTCTTATTTTGAGGCACTAGAAAAAGTCACAGCTGTCTACTCGCACCCGCACTGCATCACAGATGTTTTAATATATTAAAGGATGGAGGAAAGAAAACACTCTGCATGAGGTTCTGGGTTCTGATCCTACAAGATAGTGATTCAGAGCTTTTGATGCATGTTCCCCTGCAAATGTGTACATGAAGAATTCTCTTTTGTTTCGTGGGACAGACCGTATTGTGATGCTACGCACGGGAAATTTTTACGTATATGGTTTCATTTCATGATGCTTTGGGGTTTTTAAGTTATCTTTGAACCATGTTTGAATGCTGATGTGAATGGAGGTTGTTCAAATGTCCTAATTAAAGGCAGTAATGACATCATGCTTGCACGTTCAAGACGACTCGCGTTGGAACTGTGGTCACAGAAAGCTGTCTAATATGTGTCCAAATTCTCACATTAATCAGGGTGTAGGTGTAATATTGTATTTTTGTTGACTAAAAACAGAATGAATATTGACCTTCGCTAAGGTGCAATAAATAAAGCTGTAAAAATATAACGAGCAACCCAACACTAACAAACAGTCTCTCTGCTGGCTCTTAAGCTCATTTCCCATGATAGCCATCAATTAGACATGAAACCTTTTGTTCACAAGAGGGAAAAAAATGGCGGTAGAATGGATGAATCCAGTTGGAATATTCTTTGATATGCACGGACAGTAATCATATCTGTACACATCCTACAAGAGGGAGAAATATTGTGTAAAACAACTGGGAGAGATGTGCCAAATTCATTATGCTCTCCCTCTCTCTCTCTCTCTCTCTCTCTTGCTGTCCTCCACAGTGTCGTGACTCACACCACAGGGGTTTATCAGTGGCTGGCAGCATCACATACACACAATGCTTTGCGCCAGTGTAGCACAGAGCCCAGATAGATAATAGTGCCAGTGACTGTTGTTAAAGTGTTAACATTTCTCAGCGGCTCACACAGTGGGGAAACTCTCTGTGAATAGCCACACAACTGGATGTGTTGGTGTGAATACTCTAATTCAGCGAGTGGGAGGTTGTGAGGAAATGTAAATACTCTTACAAAGTCTGTTTTTCAGCAGAAGCTGTAGCACGCTCTAGTCCGTGATTCCTATCAGTATATAGGGCCTGATTGCTCTTTTGCTTCAGGCAGTGCCATTAGAAGTAATAATGATAATGTTTCTAACTATTTTCTCATATATTGTTGCAACAGTGTCTCAGCTTGAGCATCAATCCACTTATTGTCCAGCCTACTTTTTTTCTCCTAAAGCCACAAAACGCCTAACATTGCATTCACTGGTGGGATAGTTAGTGTAGTAGCTTCAAAATAGTTTCTGATTGGACAGTAAAAAACAGCAGCCGGCATGACAAAGTGTTTGAAGTCATAAAATAATATATTATAGGGTCTTTCAGCTCAGTAGGCATCTTCAAAGAGATTCCACCAGCACTGATGCTATTAAAAACATTTGTGCTTCTCACTGTCTTAATTCCCAAATTTGCTAATCTCAGTGCTAATGTGTGACGACAGTTTCAGCAACTCTTCTTTTTTAAGCAACATTAGCATTTTCTCATTGTGTAGCACATTGACTCAAGCTGTTGTTGATGTTTGTGCCTCCCCCAGGATGAAAATGACAACCCACCCGAGTTCAGCAAGCAGTCCTACATCATCAAAATCCCCGAGAACATTATCGCCGGTGAGTCATTTCATACGTTTGGGGTTACAGTTTAGTTGCTAGAATACATTTTTCTGGTCGGCGCAGCCAACACAGCACTTAAACACTCCAGACAAACACCATGTGTTGCACATACAGTCACCACTCACTCGAATTGCCTTACTATTAGGATATACAACAAATGGCTCTGCTGTCTTGGGGCTGTTTTTCCTTTTTTTTTTTCTTTTTTAAAATGTTTTATTTTATTTCCATCCTCTGGCCTGCACTGTCTTATTTGCTTTGATTTTGCATAATGTTTTAAAATTCTCAGTCAGAATAGGATATTGACTATTCAAGGGAAATCACTGGATGCTATATTCATTCTCATGCATGCATTCAAAAGACTCTTTCATCCCAGACAATAGATTAGTTTCCAGTCGCTAGAGGGAAATGAGATATTTGACCGCCTTGTTCTCTGTCTCGAGTTCTGCCAGATCCTGGCCAGTTTTTATTCCTCGGACCCGATTTTGAAGGAGCGCATAGCTGAGCTGCTTGGGCCGGGGCTCGAGGTTTAGGAGACTATGTCTAAAGTGTTTGGCCCTGAGCTGAAGGCCCGAGGCTTGGGATGCAAGGCTGCGCTCAGGGCTAACCCTGCGGCTCTGGCTAGCCTCTCATCCCCTCTGCCTGCCAGGGTATTGATCAAGTCTGTGCCAAGTATGGGCTGTGCCAAACAAGCTGATAATCCACTAATCCATAAACCCACTCACTGTCATGCCATCAGTCGAGTTGTGGATGGGGGCGGCGAAGACATTAGCTCTGTGTTTGCCATTTCAGTCTGTCTCTGCTGCTCGTCTATCCCTGCCTTTTTTCCTTTTTCCTAGACTTCACATGTTTTCTCCATGATACTGTCTCTCACTTCAGTGAGTTGTAACTTTCTTTATGTCTAAACCCCCCCCCCCTTTCTGCAGGGGCTACTGTGCTGCTTGTGAATGCTACTGATTTGGACGCCTCACGGGAGTTTGGCCAGGCCTCACTCATCTACTCCCTGGAGGGCTCCTCTCAGTTCCGTCTCAACTCACGCTCAGGTCTGTGTGTGTGCATGGTGTGTCTTTATACCTGGGACGTGTGTGAATTTTTTTTTTTAATCTGTAAATGTAAGTCCATTTTATTTGATTTTAAAACAGATTTTAGATTTGACTGTAAGATTTGACTGTGCTGGAAATGATGGCTTATTTAAATCTGTGTATGCACAACCTTTTGTGTTTTTTTGGTTACTTTGCTTCTGTGCACTTTGTGACTGGCTTGCACCCCGTGTCCACAGCGGTCCTCATCAAAAGAAAAATAAATATTTTTTTACTACTCTACAAACTTCTTAAAGTACCTTTAATAAGAACAAATAAAACAAAATGAATACATATAAAATATAATACTGTTTGCTAAAGTAAAGTGAGCTGTCTCTGCGGGGGTTTGCGCTCTCCGAGTGTTTCCTGTTGTTGTTCTTGTTGTTTTCTTTTTCCTTTCTTGGCACTTTTGATCTGATACCATGTGTGTTTCAGGAGAGATTACTACCACAGCACTGCTTGACCGTGAACTGAAGTCAGAGTACATCCTGATAGTCAGAGCAGTGGATGGAGGCGTGGGCCCACAGCAGAAGACTGGGATTGCCACGGTAACAATTTTATATCACTCATCAACCAATAATTTGACATCAATAAATTCTGCTTCGTCAGCATAGATGCTCCATAGCATGTTTTTTTTCTGTAGTATAAAAGCTATGAGGTACTAGTAATCGGACTTGGCGCATCATATTACATCAGTATAGTCAGTTAATGAAAATAATTTCCCTCTCCTGCTGAATTTAGGTGAACATCACCATCCTGGACATCAACGACAATGCCCCCATGTGGCGAGACGAGCCATATAATGCCAACGTAGTTGAGATGAGTCCTATCAACACTGATGTCATCTCTGTGAGTGTCTCTAGCCCAACTTGTAACTCGACTCATTAGGTGGTCTTACTAATAGTAACATGGGCACACTGTAATAATAATACTAAAATTACATGTTTATTATCTCCACCAAGGCGGTTATGTTTTCACTAGCATTTGCACACATGTGTGTCATTCTGTCTGTAAACACAATTACATCAATTCTGATGTTTTAGGGGTGTAGAGTGGGGTGTGACCTCTGACCTCTCCTTCACGGTGATTGAAGGAGAGTTATTATAGAGCTATTTAAAATAACACTAGGTTTTCAGACTGTTGGTACTTTTTGACTAATTTGACTTTTTTTTTAGTAACATAACAGTAAGAAATTTTAACCATTTGAATACATGTACATGTTTTTGAATATTCTTTTCAAAAACTTCATGTACCATAGCAGCAAAAAAAACCACCTGAAATTATGTCAAGAATATTAAAAAGCCTGAACTTTGCACATGTTGGGACTGCAATTACTTTAAAAGTCAGTACTGTGGTCCTGGAGTAGTTTCGTGTAGGACGGGTGGTGAATGAATTTAGAAGTAAGTTACTGAATTTTTTATATCTTTTGATTGGTGCACTGCTGTCATTTGATTCTCTTTTTTTTCCTGTTTTGAAACAGTATTTTGCAGCTTAATTTAATTAATCTGATTTTGCAACGTATGCCAAAGATGTGTTTTTAATTTAAAAAAAATACTCAGTATCAGATACAGGGTGATTAAAGTGTGAAAACTGAATCATCCATTTTTTTTTCTGCTTTAACTGAAGAACAACATTTAAAATATAGATCTGCATACATACTCGGCTATCGATGGACAAATGGCCGTCATGCATAGGTCATCACAAAGTAAACTCCTCTATTAGCCCAAACTCTCATTGTCCTGCCGGTGTCTTTGGCAATGTGTTGTTGTTAATTAAGCCCTGATTGTCCATTAATTAAAGAGGCGTCAGTGAGTGTAATTAAGGGAGTCCAATTGCTAATTAAAATGTAGCCCGCAGTCATACGCAAAGCAAATTATTCAGCTTCTAGGCAGAGAAAGAAGCAAGAACCCATCTTGCAGTGCAAAAAAACAGTGAAATGAAGAAACGGTGGAGAAAAAGAAATGGTCGATAAGCTTTGCACTGCTAAAATGTTGCCACTTTTTCCTAATCTCCTGTAGTTATTCCTCAGTTGACTTCTTTCATGGTGCATCCAGCACTGCGCTGCATACTGTATGTGTCTCCATGTGCACAGTGGACAGACACAGTTGCTCCTCTGACCATTTTTCAATAAATCTGACCACCCAGGCTTACAGTCCTGTAATTGGCCCCAGTGTAGCCCTGGCCCAGCCAGTGTTTCCATGGTGACAAGAGGCCACCTGCTGAGTCCTCCTGGAGGTGTCCAGTGAGCCGATGAATTTGGCCGCTGTGTCCAGTGCAAGGATCAGCCCACTCAAATCTCAGAGAACCCCACCATCAATGCTGCAGCCTCCACACACACACAGACACACCGTAAGCCTCCTCGAGGATCGCCTTTCAAAACAATATTCCCTTTTCTGCCTCTCTGCAGTCAGACGAGGACCACAGTTCAATAGACAAGGCTAATATATTTGCTCTCCATCTTTTAATGTGCTCTGCTCGGGCCAGAATTGATCATTTCAACGGGCCCCGGTCAGGCACTTCTCCCTGTCTTATATCACCTGCCTTTGTCTGTGCAGTTGCTAATCAATGAGGCTCTGAGATGCCTGCCTACCATGTCCCCTTAATAATTAAATACCTGCAAAACCTTTGTTCCTCTAATGACCAATTAACCAGTTTCCAGCATTTTTAGTCAGCGCTTTGAATAATTGATCAGCTCTTTAAAAATCAGCCTGTGCTTTAGCTGGGCTCCCGGCTTCGTGGATTCATCACCCATCGCAACTCTGTGTCACAAAATGAGACATTACTATTTTTCTTTTAGCTGACTGATGTGTTCGGAAAGTTGAAAGGAATTGTACACGATGCTCAGCTGCTGTTATTCTTTTCCCTCCCTCTCTCGTTCCTCCTCCTTCCTCTTCCTCCTTTCTTTTTTCACCAGAAAAGTTCTGTTGCAGATCATCCCTTCATCTTTAAGTTGTTTTTGCAAAGTAAACCACTAATTTAGCTTTTTATATATCTCTATATGTCAGTGATATATGTGTGTATAGTAAACGGATTTGAGGAAGCTGTCTGAAGAGCTCAAGCAAATGAAAGTAAAGGGTTTTCTTTGCTGGTTTCTGTGTCCAGGTGTTGGCAGTGGACCCTGACAATTGGGAGAATGGGACAGTGATATACAGTATCAATCCAGAAAATCCTTTCTACACCATCAACAGCAGTACTGGGAAGATCCGCACCAGTGGGGTAACACTGGACAGGGAAAGCACAAACCCTAGGGACACGGACCTTATGAGGACTATCGTCGTGTCAGCTGTCGACCGTGAGTAGTGTGTTACAGTATGATATTGGTTTGCGCTTGTAAAATGCTCCTATTAATTACAGGGGTTCCAAAAGCAAGCTTAAATTGTAATGTGTCATTATCACGTTATAGTTTTCAGTTCTCAGCGATGAGCCTCTTGCTCCAAGCCTCATTTCGAAAGTTTTATGTTGACCATGAAACTCTTTACGGTGGCTAATAAACTCCTTTGACCATGAGATATGGTGTGTGTGTGTGTGTGTGCATATAATATATCTTTATCTATCCCTTTGGCGCCCTCTTTAGGTGGTACACCTCCACTGCGTGCATCAGCAAGCACCACAGTATTTGTCAACCTGCTGGATCTCAATGACAATGACCCAACCTTCCTTAATCTGCCATCTGTGGCTGAAGTACCCGAGGGACTTCCCATTGGATCCTCATTTTTTAGGGTAAAATAAAAGACTGGTGCTTTGTAAAATGGTATTCCATTGCATTTGGGGTTTATTTTGAACATGTTAAAATGATGCAAGGAAAAAATTAATAGTGAAAATCATAATAATCATGTTCAAAAAGGACTCGGGAGAAGCATAAATTTGTTTAATCCCTATTGTTTTGTTTAATACTATTTAGTGACTAATTATCCACTTTTTTCATTTTATGCTCTGTCCTATCATAAATCCCTCCTTACAATTTGTTACATGGATTTCATTTTATAACCCAGTAATGCACTAGGACGTGTAAAAAACTAAGAATTTCGCCTCTCGCCCTGCTGGTGGTCTTTATCCTTCAAGCTCAGGTCCTCTTTGAGGACCCTACCACTCTCTCTGGCTGAGGTTTTCACGCAGTCGGTTGTGGTCATATTCCTGATGTACTCATGGATGTTTGTTGTCTCATCCTGGACATCCTGGTTTTGACACTCACTGGTCCTCGGCCTCCTTCTGTTCGCTTAGCAGGCATAGGTGCTGGATTTGGGTTGAAACAATCCATGCATGGTGAGGAGCCTTCTTGTCTTGATGTCAGTAGCTTCTACCTCCTCCTTTGGCCAGCTTATTATCCCAGCAGGGTATCTGCTCAGTGACAGGGCATAGGTGTTGATTGCCCAGATCCTCTACTTCTCATTCAGCTGACTCTTCAGGACTTGCCTTACTCTCTGCAGGTATTTGGGGGGTGCAGTTTTCCTAATGGCTTCTTTATGATTCCCATTTCCCTTTGCAATTTCCAGGTACTTGTAGCTTTTTTTAGATGTCTACAATGTTGCCTTCTGGTAGTGCAATTCCCTCTGTTCAGACTAATTTCCCTCTTTTTGTTACCATCCGACTACTGGTACTATTGGTAAACCCTGCACTTAATGGTGACTTGTGCTTTTGACTTGAAGTTGGCCTCCAGACACAGTCATAAGCTTTCTTATAGTCAACCCATTGAGTATACATGAGTACAGATTTTCTGATCATTTATAGCATAGTGAGGTCCTGCAATCCAGTCTCAGTACCAAAGAAGTTAGGATACTGTGAAATGTAAATAAAAACAGAATTGCATTTAGAATGAGACATTTTAAATTCGATGGAGGCAACACATCTCGAAAAAGTTAGAATGGAATCAACAAAAGGCTGAAAAGGTAAGAGGCACTAAATAGAAACAGCTGGAGGAACATTTTGGAACTACTGGAGTTAAATAGCAACAGGTCAGCCAGATGATGGGGCATAAAAACGTGAGGTAGAGATTCTCAGAAGTAACGATAGGTAGAGATACACCCGTGTGAAAAAATGATCTTTACAAATTGTGGAAGATTTTCAGACGAATCTTCCTTGATGAAGCATTGTGAAGACTGAATATATCAAAATCTAAAGTGCATAATATCATTAAAAGTCTCAAAAAATCTGTGCAGTCCATGATCTCCAGGCCCTCAGACAGGTCTGCATTTACAAGGTTCATTCACAAATGCAGGTTAAACTCTGTCGTGCAAAGAAGAAGCCATATGTGAACATGATGCACAAACACTCCCATCTTCTCTGAGGCAAAACTTTAAAATGGACTGAGGGAAAATGGAAATCTGTTCTGTGGTCAAACTGACTGAAATTTGAAATTCCTTTTGTAAAACATGGATACTGACTCCTTTGGATTAAAGGGAACAGGGACCATCCAGTTTCTTATCAGTGCTCAGTTCAGAAGTCTGCATCTCTGATGGTATGGGGCCGTGTTAGTGCCTATGGGCATGGCAGCTTGCACATCTGGAAAGGCCCCATCAGTGACGACAGGAATATTCAGGTTTTAGAGCGACACATGCTCACATCCAGGAACGCCTTCCATACTTCAGCAAGACAATACTAAACCGCAGTTAATGCCATACGACAGTACGGCTTTAGAGCAAAAGAGTGCGGACAAGATGAAAAATCGTGAAACATCATGAATCATAATGAATCATTTTGAATCATCACAAACCAAAAATAGGACAAAGAATACTCAGAAGTCTTGAGCAACAACAATCTTGCTGCTGTCATCAAATTCAAAATGAGCTTACACTTTTCTCAAAATGGTCAATTTTAACAGTTTAAATATTTGTTGTGTTTCCTGCATTTTATTGTGATTAAATTTGGAATTATTAAATGTCAAAATAATTTCATTCTGTTTTTATTTATATTTTCTGTCCCAACTTTTAAGGGAGGATTATATTATCATCATATTTAGTGAAGATAGGCGATGACAGACAGAAACACAAAGTCCTAAAGGAATTTCTCACTTTTTAAAAAAAAAGACTTTGACTGCCAAATAACACTGCAACACTGATTAATAAGTTTTAATCAGTTAAAATAAACATAATTTAACCACATTTTATTCACCATCTTATTCCGCAATCTGTTACCCTGTGAGTAATCTTCTATGGGTCTTTTCTCTGTATCGCTTCCTCTCTTTCTTCTGTAGATCCAGGTTGAGGACCCTGACGAAGATAAGAATGGTTTGATTACACTAGCATTACAGATGGGAATGCCTCGCCTCGATTTCTACCTGAACATCTCCACTGGCGTCCTCACCTCATCGGCAGTCCTGGATCGTGAGCGGATCCAACAGTACCAATTGAGGATAATTGCATACGATGCAGGACGGTTCCCTCGTACCTCTACATCAACCCTCACTGTCATAGGTGAAAGATTCAGATTTAATTTACCTTTGCTTTCTCTGAAATTACCCTAATGTGAAAGTTGAAAACCAAAATAATGAAATAATAAAGAGTTGCTTCATTACCGCAAATAGCCCACCTCTGATTTCTCAAACATCTGCTGAATAAAATGCTGCCACCTGCTGGTGGGATTTGTAAAACCCCAAATGGGGACTGGGCTGATTGCTCTGGATGTGACTGAAGAAGATTGGAAAATCTGCTGCCATTAGCCAGAGAACAGCACACCTGAGCAAGAAAGGCAAAAAGGAAAAAAAAATGTACTACTCACTGCACCACCCTGCTGCCTTTATTTGTCCTCATGTGCATCTATCCGTGTGTCCCCGTGTCTTTCTGTGTGTGGCGTGCGTCAGTTCTGGATGTAAATGATGAGACGCCCACCTTCAACCCTCGCGTGTACAATGTTTCCCTGAAGGAGAGCGTCCCTAGAGACCACACTGTAGCCCGCCTCAGCTGCTTTGACAACGACGCGGGTCTCAACGCTGAACTTAGCTACTTCATCACAGGTCAGAGGTCACAGTGGGAGGTGTTTTTCTGTGTTCTTCAGTTAAAGTTTTTAAAGCCACGGGAGACTTTTTGTGCCACCCGTACCTTCCTTCAATCCATCCATGCGTGTGAGAGTTTGTGTATGTGCTGAGCTCCTTTGCATGTGCCTTTTACTACATACAGATATTAATGCACTTAATTTCTAAAATTGTGACTTCTTTTCATTTTTAGATGGTAATCAGGATGGTAAATTCAGCGTGGGTTTCAGAGACGGTATTGTTCGGACAGTGGTCGGTCTAGACAGAGAGACGCAAGCAGCGTACACTCTGATCATAGAAGCTATAGGTGTGTCATAAAACTTGATCTTTTGTCTTTGTCATTTTTACATACTGTGTGTTTATAAATATATTTTATCTTCAAAGCTGCTCTTGTTTCTTTGTGCATGCATGATAACGGTGTAAGAAAAAAACTGCCTGCACATCTGCAGTGATTTCAGACCATTGCTCAACTGCCTTTGTTCCTGTGTGAAAAAAAAGAACAAAAACTCTGAGGTTTTCCTGTTTTGGAAAGCATTGAGTGGGGGTAGCTTATCTGCCGAAGAGGCCAGAGACGCCAGCGCTGGGAGAAGAAGCAGAGATAATGTAAAACTGTGCACATTGTCCTCATTCAGCTGAAAATGACCCAGTTTTTAATGAGTCATGTATATTATAAAAAAAGTCTCTTTTAGGAGGATTAATAGATTATTTAGTCTGTGTCAGTGACTCTGTCTGTTTCTGTTATCAATGTCTAAAATGGATGTTAACCTTGAAACTGATGCAAACGTGTTTGTTTTTGCACATAGACAACGGTCCGGCTGGCAGCCGAAGGACAGGCACGGCTACCGTGTTTGTCGAGGTGCAGGACGTTAATGACAACAGACCCATCTTCCTCCAAAACAGTTACGAGACCAGCATACTGGAAAGTGTTCCCCGAGGAACAAGCATCCTTCAGGTGAAAAATACACACGCCCACACACAAACACACGCTCATATATACTGCAAAACACATCCTGACAGAAATGGCACTGTTAGCGAATTTAAAACTCAAATTTATTTCCTTAAAACACACTGACTGAGTTACAGTGATCTCTTTTTGGCTTGGGTTACATTTTGTCTTGTCCATACAGGGAGTCCCCCCCATAATCTGAGACTAGCGTGACTGTGTTTGTCTTAATGTGTGTGAATTTCCAGATGGATGGGTTTCGGTGCATCAGAGCAACAAGAGGCGTGATGTTGGGTAGCGATGCTTGAATTTGAGTGAAAATATAGTAACAGACTAAAGTGATATTCTGTCATCTGAGGCTTAATTTTAGCCTCCAAGTCGTGGTGTCTTGTGTTAAAGGTTTCTGTATTGATTTCTTTTGCTCACTGTAAAGTCACTTGTGACTATAGCACAGAGCTGTGATGAAAAAGATCGCCTGTGATCCAAACTTCGACCTGGGATCAGTAACAAAATATGCTTTTTGATTATCTACATTTTAAATACTTTTCCTGCGTTTTATACCAAACTTCCTCCACCTAGCATTCAAAGAAGGTTAAAGAAATACTATAAATGCACTCTTCCCTCTCTCCTGGTATTAGTGATGTTTGCTGCACAGTCAATCGTCCTTCAGGTGCTCTTCAAGTCAGATTTCGGTAACATAGTCAAATAGACACGGCACAGTGAGGTGGGGTTCTCCGCTGGCCTCTGGCTGTGTTGTCTGCTGAGTTGGAGGCAGGGGAGCGTGTGTGCTCTCGCGCTCCTGCGGCCTGCGATGAGGCGGCCGTCTGAAGGAGAGATTGTACGAACGCCGATACGAGCCCAGCCTCTTCCACACCTTCAGCTGGGGCTCGCTGGACGTCCTCCTTCTACGAGTCGAACTCTCCCCCGGCCCGCAGCTCGCCTCGGAGTCCCCGTCCTGTTCAGAGGGCCGGCACACTGCCAGGAAGGCTGCAAACCCTGCCAGCAGCAGCGACAGCCCCAGCACCACCATGATGGTGAATTCTGGGTCGTGGATGTCTGAAGAATAAGATGGGGGCTGTCGAATGGTGACAGAGGTGGCAGCGGTGGTGAGAGTGGACAGAGTGATGTTTTCTGTGTTAGAAGTAAAGGTGACGTTGGAGCCCGGATCAGTGGTGTTCATATTGTCTCGGTTCTGGAAGGAGAAAGCTATATTAGTCAGGATGTTTCAGAGATTGTGTGAGTGTTGGTTGTAGTCTATTTGGCTAATTTCAGTGTATGCATGTGTGTGTGTGTGTGTGTGTGTGTGTGGTCAGCCCCCATCAAAGTGCCATAACAGCTCTCTTGACGTGCTTGCATCTCCAGCCAAGCCTAGCTTTGCTGACTAGGTTTATTTTAGGCCTATTCTCATGTTTTTGCTTAATTAGGCTCATACACTCAAGAGCTCATTATACACAATGACACACATGCACAAATATGCATAGAAACGCCTGCACACACAGCCAGATGCAGGGACTGTTTGGCATTTGCGGCAATTATGTAGCTATTAAATCAAGGACTACAAAACAGTCAATGCTTGACAGGCTTTCCTCAATGTAAAACAAATTGGGTTTATTAAATTGCCCTCTTGTAAAATGCAAGGAACCCACCTCTTCTACCCCAGTCTCCAATTACCCACCCCCGTCCCTCCCTCCCATCTTCAGCATAGTAACATTTGTAAATGTCATCGTCCTTAATTCAGTGGAGACAAAGCATGGCTTATCGGTTTAAGGGAAACACATTGGGACGTGAAATTATTTTTAAGACCAAATGCCAGGAAAGCTGTGAAAAGGCCAGTGGAGCAGGATGGCTCGTTAGAGAGTCAGTTCATTAGTCAGCGCCTCCAAGCACATATGCCGCACTCGCATGCATGCACACACACACGCACAAACACACGGCTATTCAAACACAAACTTTCTTTCTCACCCACACATATTGTAGCTTGCACATATTCGTGATTAGACGCGCTGTTCCTAAGCTCGGCAGCCCGGCTCTAAGGTGCTCTCCCTCTGTTGCTCCCCACATTGTTGCTCCTCCAGATCTGACTACTCAGCTAGTTTTGAAACCAACAAAACTTTTTTCTAGCACGCTTTGTTTGTCAGATTCACATTTGCAAATTTAACTGACTGTGCACGCAATTTCTCTAATAATTAATTTCTAGTAGAAACAAAATGAATTCTAGCAATATAACATCTCCAGTGATTTCAATAATTTACTGTTGTGGTATATTCTTAGCAATTAATATCGACGCTGAAATCCCTTGAAAATATATACTCACGCTGACACTTTGGAGACTTTAAAGCAGGACTTTGCTTCGTTCCAGTAGTTGAGGTCAGATCTGTTTTGTAGATCCACACTTTGTAACTGCACGCTCTTGTTTTTCCCCCCTCAAACTACGGCTTTTCCCAGAAACAGAGGGGGAAACGCTGGGGAGGAAGAGGGGAACGGGGTTGAAAAAGGGGGTAAAGTCTCAGGAACAGCATCACAGAAGTAATACGTCTCAGCTGCTTTAATGACAAGGAGCCAAAGACAATAAAATATTTTGTCAGTCACACAGAGTCTTAGTATTTAAAAAAAAGCTGTGTGTCTACACCACACGATTGCACTTCCAACATCTGGCTCCGCAATGTAGTCTTGCACTTTCATGCACCCCCTTTCATGGACCAAGTGGTGCATTCCGCTGTGTAGTGCCCTATTCATCACTCACCAATCTGACCCCCAGCCACTTTTTTTCCTCCCGTCTCCCCCTCCCCTCACCTCCTCTTTCTCCTCTCCTCTCTACATCTCTTTATAAAACTAATGAGACTGAAGTTGGGCCCCTCTTCACAGAGGGAGTGAGAGCGAGCAAAGGAGGACACACAGGGCAAGACAGAGACCGCGAGAGTGTGGGTCTCACTATATGCGTGCACCTGACTGCACATGTAAATGTGCTTGAATGAGCGCTTCTTCTGTGTGCAGTTAAGTCTGCACTTTGTAGGCACCTCCACAGATTTTGACACATTCACAGAGAAGCGAGGTGTGACATAAAGTCGGCCTCATCCAGTGCCGGCGACAATGCTGGATTCAGAAAGTCAGTCGTATGACATGGCCCATTCACCAGCAGCCCAATAGGTTTCACTGTTTATCTGTGTACGCTGTGGAGTCATGCTGTCTGTGCTGAGATTGGCTTTTTTGGGTGTTTCTGGCCATCTGCCTGTAACACAGAGAGAGAGAGTTTATTGCTGCCAAGCTGCGAAGAGGTTGTTGTGGCAACAAGACACTGGGCACCCGGCAATGTGTGGTGCATGGGATAGTATACAGATTTCTCCCTCTGCCTTGACAATTATTAAAAATGCATATGAAATGTTCTGTCTATCATCGGAGAAAGAGACTAGAAAAACTGAGATGCTCAAACCTTGTGGTAACCAAATACAACTGTTTAAGTCTGTCGTGATTTTAGTTTTGAGCAATGATAGCTCTCACATAAAGTTGCAATAATTGCCATTAGACTATCACTTTTTTTTTTTAAAGCGTGCCATTGCCAATTTTAAAGCAAAAACAACTGCAGAGCTGTTTCCTTTCCCGGAGCTGGTTTGCTTTTCCATGTTATTTAGCATTTGATTAAGTTCAGTGATCCTGTGCAGATGTTTTAAGAAAATGCAGATGTCTTTTTTTGTTGTTTTTTCATTTTTGGTCTGTAAAGGTTCAAGCTACAGATGCAGACCAGGGAGAGAATGGGAGAGTCCTGTACAGGATCCTCACTGGTAAGTGTCGCAGTCCTTTAGAAAACCTTTGCACGTGGTCATCCTGTTCGCTGATTGAATGTCCACAAGGCTAAACACAGTCTCAAAATATGTGACGGCAGCTTTGTGAAGATACGTTCTTTAGAAAATTGTCGACATAGTAAAATTCTCAAGATTCACTGATTTGATCATTCCTCTTGGTTCCTCTGCTTTAGCTTTACTCAGTGTATATGAGTCAGGTCTTGCCAAAGAGTCAAAGTACTTGTGATGACGGGCTCTTTAAACAAGTTGAATTTGCCATGTCAGCAAATGAAATAGCCCACGTAGTGGACTTCAGTAAACCTGGGTTAAATGTGCATTTTTGTTCAGGTCTCTTGGCTTCGTCTCACCTTCCCTTCCTTTCGCTGTCTCTCTGTCTGTGCGCTCGTGTTTGTGATGCATGCAGGGAACAGCAACAATCTGTTCAGTATAGAGAGAGACACCGGACTGGTGACAAGAGGCCTCAGGGCTCTGGACAGAGAAACCAGCAGCTCCCATATGTTGGAAGTGGAGGCGTACAACAGTGATGAGGGCAGCATGAGGAGCTCTGTGAGGGTGAGAAGCAGAGAAACCACATCCGATGAAAAATATATTATATGTGCATTATAATCAATTTGTTTGGAGGTGAAATTATTGTCTTTTATGTGGCTGTTCGATATATTTATTTAGGAAATATGAACCGTCTCCTCCTCAGGTGATCATATACGTAGACGATGCCAATGATGAGGTGCCGGTGTTTACCCAGCAACAGTACAACCGTCTGGGCCTGAGAGAGACCGCTGGCATCGGCACCTCTGTGATTGTGGTGCGTGCCACTGACCGTGATACTGGTAAGTTTGGTTTCAAATATGGCAAGAAAAGGGAATGTTTGATTCCAGATCTTTTCAATAACCATTCAGCATCAGGTTTTCTTCATCTAACACCAAATGGAAATACATATTTAGCTGTGCTATTTAGCATAGCTTGTGCCTTTGATCATCAGCGTGCAGATCAATAAACCTAACACTAGTGGGTGCCTCCACAACGAGAACAAACCAACCTCTTCTTTATTTTTTTTCCCCTCTGGTTTTGTAACTATGGTGTGCACGAAACATCGCAATTGGCATTTAAATCACTACTTCTGCTACATGGCACAAACTTCCTCTTATTCACTTCCCGTCGGGTAAAGTGTTGCTTAGGCAGCTTCTGACGCATCTTGTGCCGTGACATACATTTTCCAAAACATTAGATCAGGATCAGGCCTGAAACTGAAATAAACATCACATTGCCAAAAGAGCAGCGTTGACAACTGTGATTAATAAAAAACAGACTTGAGGAAAAAGGTTGCGTTTTGTAACTATAGCTTCATCGAAACAATGTTACAAACTTTTAAAGTTGTTATTCTTAGTAACAGTAGGTGGGGGAAAAAAACACCTTTTTATTATAAGTTGTTTTTCTTTGAAATGACACCTTTTGCCTCTCTTGCTGTTCAGGTGATGGTGGAGCCGTCGCCTACGCCCTCATATCCGGCTCAGACCGCAAGTTTGAGGTAGACGTAAGCACCGGCCTGGTTACCACTGTGGACTACCTGGACTACGAGACCAAGACCTCCTACCTCATGAACGTCTCAGCCACCGACCAAGCTCCGCCGTTCCACCGCGGCTTCTGCACCGTTTACGTCACGTTACTTAACGAGCTGGATGAGGCCGTGGCCTTCTTCTCCGCTGGTTACGAGGCTTCGCTTCGTGAGAACATCGCCACGGGCACAGAGGTGGTCCAGGTGCAGGCGCAGTCCGCCGACAACTTGAACCAGCTGAAGTACCGCTTCGACCCCGACACGTCACCCGCAGCTCTGGCCCTCTTCAAGATAGACAGCGTCACGGTGAGGAAGAAGTGGAAGGAAGGTCACTGATGATTTGTTCACAATGTGAATGCCTTGTTTTCGTGTGTGTGCACTTCAAAGGCTGCGCCTACCTTCCGTCAAATATGCTTCATCCATTAACCGCAATGCGACTCAGTAACAGCTCGTCCCCGGTGATTTAGGCTAACACTCGTGTTGCTGTGCGACTGTAAGCTGATCAAAGTGCTTTAGGTGCTTTGAAGTCATTTGATTCCTTTGATAGATGAGAAATGGGGATTCCTTTGTTGATTTGTGTGATACTTGTTAATTTTCTTCTGTTTTCGTCGCTCTCACACTGGGACTTACATCTTGTACGGACTCTATGATGGTTACGGTATCTGCTGATACGTGTCTGTGTGTTGTTTCAGGGCCGCATCACAGTGACAGGCCTGCTGGACAGAGAAAAGGGTGATATGTACACGCTGACTGTTGTCGCTGATGATGGAGGACCCAAAAAGGACTCCACTGTGGTACGCCCCTTTGTTGTGAATGGTGTTGTTTCAGGCCTACCCCTCCTATTATTGTGCCTTGTGGATTTATTACTTCACGTGTTTGTGTCTATTCTGGCACAGAAAGCTAATGGCCTTCCTCTTTTATTAATTGCATCCCTCACTGGAACTGCAGAAGGTAAGACTTTACGTTCTTTTTATGGTGCCCTGAATGTTAAGTACAACAGTAAATGCGTTTGCTGTGTAACGTGATCATTATGTTTTGTTTGCCCGGGTTTATGGTAAGTATTACTTTGCAAATGTGGAATTTAACCTCCATTCGATCGTACCTCTGTACAGGTGTCCATCACCATTCTGGATGAGAATGACAACAGTCCAGAGTTTGACATCACATCTGATATTTCACGCGCCATCCCAGAAAACACACCCAAGGGTACAAAGGTGGCAGTAGTTCTGGGAAGGGACAGAGATGCTGGTTTAAATGGACTGGTGAGGGTTTTTTTTTAAAAAAACAGCAGAAAATAATGAAAGATCTTCTGTGTGTGGCGCTTAATATCATATCGTTTACTTTACATTTTACTGCACTTAACAGCTGACAAAGAGCAAAAAAGATGTTGCTTCCCAAATATGGTGCTTTATTTTTTCACTTCTTAGTTGCTAACACATCCTGAATCAAGCAAGCGTGCTTTCCCGGCATCTCAAAAGTGAATGTGACATTTATAACTTGTGTTTCACTTATTTTAGGTTGTGTATCTCTTAATCTGGCACGAGTACTACAAATATTTACTTCCTCAGACTGCAATACAAGAAGTCAAATTAAGCTTATTTCAGTTTCACATCGGCTCTGTTAGATTTTGGCATCTCGATGGCCAACTTAAGCTGTCAGCGTCACATTTTCCTTTTTTGCTACTACCTGCGCAAGTTGTGGACTCTCACTTCTTGTTTCTTCATTTACTTTCTTAATGTGAAAGAAAAGCTATTAAAAATACCCACACTCTCATTTTTGGTTGCAGTAAGTAGAAGTAATCATCTGACATTCAGTCAGTGACTGTCTGCCCCCATTTTTCTTTCACTCATTCTGACTTGTTGCTCTTTGCCAGGTCAATTTCACTCTGGTGGCAGGCAACATGGAAGATGTGTTCATGATCAAGACAGTGAACAACACTTACGGAGAGGTTTATGTCAATGCTCCTCTGGACAGGGAGTCTGTAGACCGCTATCTACTGAAGGTCAGATTACTATAGTTACTGTAGGACAGTTTTACCAGACACCTGTGTCTCTTTCACATTCATGCTCTAAACTTACACCTCATCCCCGATTCAGCACAACAATGAACTAATTACTTGTCATACTTTTAACCAGGAACTCCAAACACATTTTACATGTTGGGCCACACACATAACCTCCCTTTCTGTCACTGTTTAGGAAGTTTATTTAGATATTAAAATCATTGAAATATCTCTGTATATAAAAAAGAAGTGCAATTTCAACATTGAGTCTTGGTCAGTATGATGCATTGAGGTTAAATTCTAAGAAGCGTGTAAAATTACAGAGGAAGTTCTGGTAGCTTAGACTCAGACTGTCCAGCAATTATAAAACATGAAGTTCTTATTCATTCGAAGAAAAATCTCTATGGTAGATTATGAAAAAACATCTTTAATTTTTTAACCATTAAAGAGTTAATTAATTACATTTGTTAGGATGAATGGCAATGAGGGAGGTCTTTCTTTAGTACAAAAAGTTCAGAAAATACAGTTTAAAGTCCGAGATCTTACTTCACATTTTCCAAAGCCTCCAATGGCCGGATTGGAGTGTTTGCTGGGCCGATTCTGGCCCCCAGGCCTTATGTTTGATGCTTTTAATTCAAAACCAAATAGACATTTTTGAGGCTGTTGTTCTGTAGAGACAAAAGGCACAAGTGTTTTTCATTTACTCGTCATGTTTTAATATTATTGATGTTAATGAAAACAGATTTTAATACAGTATTCAAAGTGCATGCATTTCATTTATTTATCCTCTGTGGGGTTTAATGCCAGGTATCAAACTGCATGCTGAGGCTTGTGTTCTAATGCACATCAGTTCACATGTATTGTTTTAGGTCCGTGCCACTGACAATGGCTCACCTCCCAGACACACGGACCACTCTCTCACCATCAACATACTGGACGTTAATGATAATGCGCCAGTTGTTGAGAGCCAGAGGGGCTACAACGTCAGCGTGAATGAGGTAGGGATGCACTCGACACACGATCTAAGCTAAGCAAGCCAGTGATGTCAGTGTATACAGAAATATTTCAGTATTCAGCTGTTTAATTCTTATTTTTATTTTTATTTTATTTTTATGTCTATTTAAGCGTTATATGACAGTAGGTTTGCACTAAGTACCGCAGCAATTTCCTAATGTTGTAAACCTGCTCAACAATTGGCAATAAAACCCTTTCTGATTCTGATTCTGTTAAGTTTTATTATAGTCTACCACAGATGATCCATAATTTAACAAGGCTTCTTTTTTGATGTATTTTGCAGAACGTTGGAGGAGGTACATCAGTCGTCCGTGTGATGGCGACAGACCGGGACATCGGTCCCAATGCCATGCTGTTTTACTACCTCACTGCTGGAAACCAGGACCTGACCTTCCGCATGGACCGAGTGACCGGAGAGATGGTGACGCGCCCATCCCCTCCCGATCGAGAGCGCCAGGCCGAGTACCGACTAACGGTCACCGTGGAAGATGACGGCACGCCACCTCTGTCGGTAGGGCACAGCAGTAACCATGGCATTACAACAGTGCTGCAAACATATCTTATTAATATCAATTCCAACAATTTTTTCCTTTGGCTACTCTCAGATCACTGAGAGTATTGAATCTGAATTCATCAGGATAATAAATAACTAACCATTTTTTGTGTTTGTAAGTGTACATGCATGAGGTAGACATGACATGAATAGTTCTGTCTCTATGGGCCACATTTACTAACACGTAGCGCCGCTGCAATCTGGGTTGTGACGTAAATAGTACTGCCAGACGCCACAGCTCAGTGGATGAAAAGAATGTGTTATTTTTGGCACTTGATATTAAAGTAAACTCACTACATCTGTGGTGGAAAAACAAAACAGACACCTACGAGCGCTATTTGGGGATTTGCAATTTACCCCATTTTTTAAACTGGACTCATGTGTTGGCCCGGCGACCTGTTCAGGGGGTACCCTCCCTCTTGCCCCTATGATACCTAGCATGGGCTCCAGCAGTATGCAGACAGATGGGTTATTTTCAGTGTACTAATAATGGATATAAGCTCTCAAATAACACATGTAAGTGTTATATTTAAGAAATAGATGTTAAAATAATAACTGGGAAATATACTTAAATGTAATTTCACGGTGAGTTTCAGGACAAATGATGATGATGAGTAAAGTTGAATAATGCTGGTTAAGAGGATTCAGCATCTTATACATAACTCTGTTTTGATCTTACTCACACTCTTGTCCGAGACACGGGTTCTGTTGAGGTCTGCTTAATGCTTTCTTATCTGCTTGACCTAATTAAGGCACAAATATGGCAAATATAAAATACAGGAAGACAAATATAGTGGTTTCTTGATTTTCTCTTTAAGTTAAATGGCTTTCATTTTGTCAAAACGAAAGCCACAATTCACATTTCTTCTTTTCCCCTTTGTGTGCTTATACAGAAGGAATAATGTACAGTACTGTATGAGTCACAAAGGCATGAGTTTTGTGCTATAAATTTACTTGTCTAACATGGTTGAACACCTATAATAATGCACATTTTTTTAATGCATTGTATAAATAGTCAATGTAAAACTGCAGAAAAAGCTGGGAAGAGAACAATGGCCATCACTGGGGATTTTCACTTATCAGTCACCTAGCTCCGTCTTTTCTCATGAAACAAGATGCTAAGCTTGTTTTATCATTTTCTCTCCTCAATGCCGGTCTCCCTCTGGTGTGCACCATCTTAGAAGCACACAAGTGGAACAACCTTGTTCTATCTGTGATGGCTCCCCAGACAGAAGTGCAGCATGCCCTTGTAATGTAATAGTTTTGGAGACCTGCCATTTGAAAGGAACAACTGAGAGACACAAGGCTTTAAAGTGCCACTTTATTATAAAAGCCACTAATAGCAGGATTCAGAGGTAATATACAGAACAAACATGCTAATTACAAGCCTTTTTGTATTATGTTAACGTTTGCGCTCATGTCAACATGCAGTCACAGTCCGGATTTTTTTTAAAAACACACACATACACAGACACACATAAGCAGGCATAATGGAAAACACAAGCATTTAAACACAAAAAACAATCATTAACTCTTAGAGAATAAAAACATCTTTACATAATACCCCCAACTGTACACCTGCTACACATCGTTCTAGAGAGGATTTCCTCCAAGCACCTCCTGTACACCTCAGTGTGAAAAAAAACCCACCGGTGGTTTTTACAGTCACACTAAATAATATCAAAAATGCTGTCATATATACGTTCGCCCTTCTTCTCTTAAGCCAAGTTGTGTTCACTGATCTTAGGTTAACATTTTAAAGCTTTTTTTTCCCGCACTTTCACTTGAAATATTTGATATTTATCAAACAGCCCCATTGCACACGTACTAATAAAATAGAAATGAATACTACAAAATATTTTACCACAGTCAAATAAAAAAAATTAAAAAACAAAAATATTCATAAAAGATTTACTTCCACTGCAGTGATTAAACTGTTCTAAGGTTTTTGTTGTTGTTCTTTATTTAATAAAAATCTGACTACATTCAAGAGTAAAAAAAACAATAAACATTTTGTTTAGAATTATTGAACTGTACACGAGCACAAGCAAGAACATCTTTTCTAAATGCTTTTTCTAAATTCTTCCTGCAATTTTCAGCACTTTACGAGAACATTTAAGGCCACTGTGAAGGGCTGCGTTTCTGGAAGCACAGGAAGGAAAGACAGTATTTAAAGCAACAGAGTTTACGCATAGCTGAGGTAGCAAAGAAGAAATAGAAAACATGGCACGTTCAAGTTAAAACAGAGGAACAGCATAATGCCTGTAAAAGCAAAAACTGTTCTTTTTTTGTACAAGACCTTTGGCACTTCTCTGATGATTGAGAGTTCGCTGGTGCAGACGGCTTATATAAAATGACGAAAGGGAGAAAAGGGCGTTAAGTCGTCCTCACACCAGTTGTTCGGTTTAAAAAAAAAAAAACATGAAGAAGAAAGAAAACAAAAACAACACAGTTTGCTTCCTGGAGATGTAACCTTCCTGCCTTCTTGTGTAAAGGTAACAACATCAACAAGTTAAAAAGTAGTCTTGTGTGGGGTCTTTTACATAGGATTGTTTCTTTGACAGCTTGTGCATTTGGCAAATACATAAGGACAGATTTACAATAAGTCTTCAGTTGGCCCCCTTACAGTTACAAAGAAACCACAAGAGTGACACAGGAAATTTACAGAAATCATTGTGAGTTCTTTAGGGTTTGACTTGCCCTATACAACATGCCACCCCTGCACATTTTCTATAGCATAGATCTTTGGTTGGTGTGTTTGCTGACATATAGAAACCGCAATACTGACACAAATGCTACAGACAGTCACGCAAAGTGAGTTATTCAGGGCTGCAATCAAAAACATGCCAACACTATTATAAGCAGTGTGTTTCATCCAAACGAGGTACCTGATTCGAATGAATGGTTTGCAAGCCATCGCCAGTGTTTGGATGTAAAATGAAGCACAACAAGTCGTCACGAGCCAAAGTTCACTTTTTGCCTGCAGCTGTTGTTGCAGGTGGAAGTAGTTTATGAATCAAAGAAATGCAGCCTTCTTTTTTTCCCTCCTTGGGTCCAGACAATGTACAGACTAAAATCCGGGGTTATTCTGAGATGGCTCGTGAGGAGAGCGTCCGTCTGAAGGCAGAGAGAAGAGGAAGATAGTTGCGGGGCTGTTCCCAGATCAGCAGTTTGAGTGATGATTGAGGTTCAGCTCCTCTTTAAACCTACAGGAACTCTGGAGACTCAGGGATGGCAGCTGCAAGCAAAGACAGTGCATGTCGGTGAGAGCACAGAAATCATTGTAGGTATCACTATCCACCTACACAAACACACAATTCTTTTCTTTTCCTTTTTTTTGTTATGTGGAAAATTAGATATGGGGGTGTTCGAACATGCAAATGTGCACTTCCTGCCTCAAACATACCCGATCTTTCAAAAGTCAAATGAAAAAATTGAAAGAATTTCCTTTTCTTTACTTTTTTTTCCCCATAACTCCCACATCTCAGAGTACTACAGACACGCATGGAGACTGATCAGTTCCACAGAACTACTCGTGTTTCTGAAAACTCATTAAAAAGCAGAACAACAAGGCCTTGGGTCTGGGTTGCGACATGCTAGCGATAACAGGGAAGTGCTGCTTGTTGAATTCCGCAAAGTTTAAGGTCAGCAAGTTGGAAAAAAATGAAGAAGAAAGCTAAAGTGTGGCCTCCATCCACGTAACGTGAAACCTTATGAGAAGCTGTGTATTTCAACATAACATCTGTGGACCACTGAAGGAAATGAGCTCCGGCATTGAAAATCCTCCTTGACAAATGTCAAAGATATTGTTTTTTATGTCGAACATATGAAGGTTTTATCAATAATTTTGACTTTTCTTTGCAGACGGGAAACATAGAGATCACACCAAGAAATGGAAAAGGCGTCCAGCTCCCCAGTAAAAGAATAATGTTTGATTGAAGAGGCGAAAACTGCAGCATATGGCACAATTTTACCTTATGTTTATGTTTCTCATTTCTGTTTGAGCTTCAGGAAGGCTTGTCCATATATTCCCCTATTACAGTGTTGAAACCTTTATGGGTTGCTTAAGGCTGTATACTCAGTAAGTTGTACCTTACCCTCTTCCCATGCACATCTCAAACCGTGCTATAAGGAAATGGGGGCAATCCGCCTCAGTATGCCTGGAATGTCTGCACAGGTGTCCCAGGAATCGGCAGAAAAACACTAAGGATTGAACCCCTTAACCGTGTCTAATGTTTCAATATTATTTCAAGTTGAGTCAGAAGGAACAACTGAAGGAGCCATTAGTGCTCAATGAGAGTGCTGATGGGTGGAGAATGACTTGTGAGAAGAATTAAGAAGAGGACAGTGTAAGGGGGTGGTTTCATGTGTGTGTGTGTGTGTGCGGGGGAAGGGGGGGGGATGAAATCTCCTACACAATATATTTTCAGAGTCATGCAACACTCAGCCCAGCTGTTTTTGATATGCACTACAAATTCGCGAGCATCTTTCCACCAACACTTCCACCAAACGCAGGATGTTTCAGCAAAAGCACAGAAAGAACTAGTGGTTCGTGATTGCATCAGTCTTTTACCAAACTGAGTGCACATTTTGATATAGGTGTCTTGCAAAACCCTTGTGTGCAATGCAGTTACACGCATATACCGGTACTTTTTCATTTTTGTTTTTTTAAGTGTTTTTTTTTTTGAGTGTGAAATAAATGTGAACAAAGTGATTTGCATTGATTCACAACAATAAGAATATCGTAACAACAGATATAACACACTAAGCCATGTAAATGACCTCTAAAAGTGAGATGACTTGCACTGCCTTTTTGGGCTTTGATGTTTACCAGTGGAAGGTCCCTTATGTCAGCGACTCAGTCTCAGCATGAATATTGTATGAGTACAAGTTGTGAGGCAGGGGGGGGAGGGGGTGTCCTACCTTCTGCTGGGAAGAATACGTCGCCATGTGCCGGA